TGCCTGCGCCGTATCACAGGGTCAGTGCCTTAGAAGGCAGCGTTGTTCATCGTTTCTACAAACAGTAGATTCGGACATGACCGGGTGCCTTTCGGCCTCAGAAGGCATTTCCAATAACTGTTGCCGGCTCTGGGGCAGTGTCGCGCAAAAAAAGTGTCATGCAAAGAGAGAAACTCTATACAGATTTACAGGCCAGTTCTGAGTCCCAACGTAGACTAATATGGCTTTTAAACTTAAAAAGCATCGTTTATCGCAATAATTACGTTTATACCAACAGTTATATCTCCCACACTGCGTTTCAGTGTTAAATCTCACCATGTGGCTGTGGGTGTGACACAGGTTACCGCGCTGCACATCAACAATCTGATTGGTCGCTCAGCTTATTTGCATAAAGGTCGTCCAGAAGGAGAAAGCAGTTCAGCGAACACAGTTACATTGCAACAACCTATTGTTTTGGTTCCCACGATGCTGTCACTGTGTTGAAATGCTATTTAAGCAACAGAACACGAGAGGGAGTGTGTTATCGCAAAATAACATCATGGCTGTGTAGATCATCACAGCCGTGATGTTATTCGTGATAACACACAACCTCTAGAGTTCTATTGCTTTTATACAACAGTTAAATAAATAAAGTAATAAATAAATAAATTGGGCCGTGAACATGGCATTTAATATGTTTTAATGTTAGCAGTTCCTTCCGCCAAATTATAGTTCCTCAACAAGCAGCTTGTTGCTACGTCAGAGTAACGAGCTTCGCTCACTCGCTGCACAGCCGGCAGTTCGTTCTCCAGCTCCACACAGACCAACTGACAGTTTGGGAATTTAGTGTAGTCTCACCTTCAGATTCTGACCAAAACGGCTGTAGGTCAGATGTAATCTTAAAAGTATCCATTTTCCGTTTGTGACCAAAGTAAGAAGTAAAAACGTTCAAATGGCTTGAGCGTCTCCTATCAAAGACGTTGCTTAGCAACGGCGTCTCAGCGGAGTGATACAGTGTTTGTGAAAAACCCTTGATGTTATGGCGAAATAATAGCACGCTTCTCAACCAATCAGCTTGCGTGGCCAGAACTAACTGTTGTATAATAGAACGTTATCTAACAACATTGTGACGCCGTAGTGGCAACGCTGTCAGTGCGGCACGTTGTCACAGCCTCCTAGAACCCTTGTAAGTTCCATTATGTTGCACATGGAACTCCATGGAATTTTGCTATGTTGCAAATAGGTGGTCATAACACTAACAATATGACAGAGCCTTGTTCAGACAACGTGAACAGCACCACCTTTTCACAAAGTTGTAGCAATGTTGTAAGAAAGTAGACAACGTTGTGACAGTAGCCACGTTTACATGCAGCCTAATAATCCGTTAAAAAGAGCACGAATAGCTCAATCGGAAAAGAATACATCCGTTTTTACTTCTTACCTCATTCTGAATAGACTAGTCCGATTGAAGCCATTTGGACTACAATTCCTATCCGATTGAACGAGCTGGATAATCCTGTAAATAATCTGTTAATTAGAAGAATTAAAACCATGTAAACGCCTGTATCCGATTACATTCCCAATCGGAAACTTTAAGTACGTTCTGCGCATGTGCGTCATAGCGGAAGTTTAAAATGTCCAACATGGCGGGAACAGAAACTGGTCTGCAGAGGAGACGAAGTTCATGCTCTGAACTTTAAAAAGACGGCGATGGGACAGGCGTTCAGCTTATGTGTCTCAGAACATGAGCCCTTCCTTAATAAGTACATGTGAAGTACCTTTTTCTGATTCTGTCATAATTTTAAAGCAGTTAAAAACACAAGTGCGCCAACAGAAAACTCGTCACACTCTGACTGGACCTCACGTGATGCTCGCTGCCATGGTAACGTGTACACTAAGTGATGCTCTACGCATGCGCGTCATTTGTTTACTTGTGTGCGTGTGAACAGAGATTTTGATCAGATTGTTGAGTAGAGTGAGCATGTAAACACATCAGTCTTCATCTATAATCGGAATTTATTCAATCGGCAAAAATCTTTGTATGTAAACAGAGCCAGTGTTGTGTGTATATTGTCATTTCTCGCTTCTTCATAGTACTGTATGACACGTTATGTTGGACACGTTATGCACCCCTAACTTAAAACACCGTACCTGGAAACAACTGTCATCACATTGCTCTAAGTTCAGATCAAAACATATAACTCTAAATAAAATACTGCTGGGGAGAGAAAGCATGGATGGATGAATGGATAGATGGATTGATAAGATAAGATAAGATAAGATAAGATAAGACAAGATAATCCTTTATTAGTCCCACAATGGGGAAATTCTCAGTGTTACAGCAGCAAAGGGATAGCAAGGCACTCAAGAAAAGAAAAGAGTAACAAGAAGAGAATTAACAAGCACATAATTAACCATGTTAATTTATTTAACAAGGTTTTTACAATTTGTTACTTGTTACTTTATAGACAATATATATAATACTAAAAGTAAAAAATAAGATAGAAAATATCAACTCTATCTTTCACAAAAATAACAATATAAAGGATTAAAAATAAATAAAAGCTAAAATATTTACACTGTAAGGATATTCTAAATAAATAAATAAATTACATAGAAGAAAACAGTTAACAGAAACAACAAAATAAACAAATATCAAGAAAAGAAAGGAAATAAGAGAATTTAGGGGTTTACTCTTTTGCACTTTAACCCTTAATAAAAATATTCTAATTAAAGTTCAAATTCAGTATAAATAAAGTCCTTTTCAAAAGTCCTCTCACCTTCAAGATTCATCATCATAAGGGGGTGGTCCTTGTTCTTTAATCCTGAAAATCTCACCCTAGAGACTACTGCAGCGCTGTGGTAGGACACAACTAATAATGTTTACAACATAGAAATGGTCACATTTTTCATTTTTGGAGGTGTGCCTCTTTAAGGTATCACACAGAATAACTTTCCTCTGATAATGTCAGAGTTTCATTTCACAAAAAAACTGGACATTTATATTCCTATAAGCGTTGGTTAATCAATTAACAATTAAACATCAAACACAAAGATCAGTCTTACCATCACATGCAACTCTGTCTTTACTGAGCTCCATTTTAACTCTAACATTGATGTACCTTTTACAACCACTTTGTATCTTCAGTCAGCCTCTGCCTTCTGTGACAAACACCTTGTTTTTCTTCTAATAATGCCATCCTTCATCAGCTATGTCAGTTCTATTCATTCATATACCATTACATAAACAATAATTGCTGGCCATTACATTTGATTATACCATTATCTATAAGTTAAAACACATTTTAAGAAGATGGAGCTATGATCTTGATTACATCATATCACTTCAATTAACATATCCCACTTTTTCATTTTTTCATTGATCAAGAGAGTACAGAGAAGAATCTATTGATTATCCCTAATTGTGACTAAACAAGGAAGTGTTAAAATATATATAAAATATATATGAAATAGATAAAAAATAAACTTATGGTCAAAACCAAGTATCTGTGTGTGTGCGTGTGTGTGTGTGTGTGTGTCTGTTTGTGTGTGTGCAGGCCAATGTTCTTAGATAATGTCTAAATGTCCCCATCATAGTTACAATTTATGTTAAAGATGAGACTGAGCAGTGTTTCCTAGGCCTGGTTGAAACACAGTGATACCATTTGCAAGCACTCAGGACAAAGCCTAAGCAGAGAGGCCTGCACATACACACAGAGGCCTGCACACACAGCATAATGTGATTAACTATGGAATCAAATCAACCATAAATAGTGAAGTTACTACTTTTCCAACCAGATTCATAAATCTTAAGAAATTCTTCCACCTACCTGTTTAAATACTTTAGAAAATCTCTCACACTACTTATAATTATGAGATATCAGTTCGAATACAGAATTTAAGAGGGTATGTGGCTCTGTCCCTGATGGTCTTCTCTATTTACTTAAAGATAAACACAAGGCTACAGAAGATTTTTCTTTAAATAATTTTATAAGGCAGCTATTATCTCATAAATACATTCCATTAGTAACCTTTCAGCGGTCAGCTCAACAAAGACAAAACAGCCATTCAATTTGGACTCTCACCTGTATGTTCTTAATAACAAAATGAAAGAGGTGCTTTATAAAATATTACATAGATGCTACCCTGTTAATGGTGCTTTGAGTAAATTGTTCAATGTGAATGATGCTTGTGTTTTTTGTAAAGGGACTGTAGAATCCATTAAACACTTATTTTTCTGTTGTGTATTTTCCTACTCTTTTAGGATTTATCTTATTTAGACTTGAAAAGAAAGACTGGTAAAGAAAGTCACTATGTTTTATTACTTTTTTGATGACCCTTTTTCAACCCGGATGAGCGCTTTATAACAAATGTAATCATAAAAATAGCTACATTTTATGTACATAAGATAAAATTTGCCAGAAAAATACCTTCACATATGACCCTTGTATGCACAGATCTATGTAATTACATATCTACATTAGTGAATTTAAACCTGCAGCAAAACATGAAATTCTGTAAATTCATCTTTTTCTTTTCTTTTGATATGTGAATGTTGAGCTTTTATGCATCATACCGCTATTCTGTTCTTGTATGAATGGTTACTTGCAATAAAAAATATAGCGCTGCTGTCGGAACAAAACCTCGTATCTCCATTTTTTGTCATTTTTCAGTTTTAGACATAATTTGAAAAGGCCTGTTGTCCTTTACATTGTGTGTAAATTTCATGATGAATGGACCAAAAGAACTGGCCCAAAATTGGAAAAAAAGTTGGAAAAAAGTCTGGTTATATTGACTTATATTAAAAGTAAAGTAGTTTTTTTCCTTCTCATGTAAAGTTATAATTTTCGAGATACGAGGTTTTGTTCCGACAGCAGCGATATATCAGATGACTGTGACGCTTTTTGAGCAGGAAACGCACTGAATCGTGCAGTGCATGTTGTAAACAGAGGCAGAACCAGTGTGGTGAAAATCCTGTTTTTTCTCCGGTCCAGCAGGTGCCACTAAAGCTCCTTCACGCGGGCGGACAGATTCGGCAGTGGACTGTCACCGGGGCGAAACCAAGATGCAGGGATTAAAACCCTACTGTGTTGAAATGGTCTACTACTTATTATTACTACTAATTATTCTTTCAATGCATTCCAATTAAAGATATGGTATTGTTTTTAAACAAAACATCACGTATGACTAACAAATCATTCATTTAAAAATCATTTTAAAAAGAATTATTTTTGTTCACCCCCGCAAGTTGAATCTCAAGTGAAAGTCGATGCTTTCACAGAGCAGAGAAAACTCCATGGCAACGCTGGCCGTCCGGCTAATGTTTGTCAAAACTTCCCAAAATCACTTCTAGGTAAGTTCCTGTTTTTCCATACAGCGCGCAGTTGTTCCACTGACGTCATTATTTTAGACAGCAGCCATGAGCATGACTAGCTAACTAGCGCTTCACGTGTTGTTTTAGCATGGCAGAAGAGCCAGAAACACTGCAAACTAGTGATTGTTTTAGCCAACTACACAGTGAGTTTGCCGTCAGAGGCGCGCTGTGCGAGATCGTGTAACAGAAATGGAGGCAAAACTGACCGCGGAAAAGGTGCTATTGACATTCGACACATTCGATGTTAAAGACGTTTCCACTTTCATATTCATTCTCCACTGAACACAAGCTCAGGACTACGCGGTTTATTTTTTACTTTAATTGTTTTTAAAGAAATTCTCAACACATTTCCCCAATTTGAGTGGTGAATTATGCAGTTCTTCACGTACAAACGGAAGGGACCGTCGTCAAAGTGCACGCCCTTAATTTAAAAGTCTGGGCTAAACGTCAAACTCACAATAGCGTCTATGTTGTAGGGCCAACTGAAACCCAAGCAATGAAGATCTTCCTGTATTTGTCACTTACTACAGCAGCAAAATTTAAATCAAGTGTTGTGTTGATTTATGATCAATATCATATACACATACACAAAAATCAATAGCTATTTTATTATAGGGCCCAAAATGTAACAAAAGACTGTTCTAACATTCTGAATAACTACAGCGAGTCAGATTTCAATAAACTAATTTTATTGGAAAAAAAATTAATGTGATAAAAGTGATTAATTTTTCAGAAAGTTTAAGGCATTAAACAATCAATAGTCTCTTTGCTGTAAGGACTAAAATTTTACACCCAAATTCATTAAAGTGTGCCCTGTTTTTGCAACTTACTACAAGCAGAATTTGAATTGTGTTAAAGTTGAATACACTTTTTCACACACAATAATAAATAGTTTCTTCACTCTAGGGTCTACAATTATAAAACCAAATGCATTAAACACCAAGAAGAAGTTGAAGAAAGCCTTGTGTTTTAAACATCAAAAGCTCAACAGCTTCTTTACTGAAGGCTCAAAAGTGTACATCCAAACGCATTAAAGAGTACCCTGTTTTCACAGCCTACTACAGCAAGTATAAAATAAATTTGGGTTGAGTTGTAATTAATATTTTATGTACAAAAATTCAATAACTTTTTTACTGTAGGGCCTGCAGTTGTAAATCCAAACACATTAAAGAGTGTCATATTATTATAACTAACTACAGCAAGCCAAATTTGAATAAACTCTAGTGTTTAATTGTAATGTTTTAAACATCATAAATCCCATAAACTCTTTACTGTAAGACCTACTATTTTAAATTCATTTGCATTAAAGAATTTATAGTTACAACAGCAAGTAAAATATGAATAAAGTCTAGTGTTAAATTATAATACATTACAATACAAATTCAGCAGCTTCAAAAATGAAAAAAAAAAAACAATAGCTTCTTTACTGAAGGGCCCAAATTTGTCAAACCAAATGCATTGAAGAGTACCCAATTATTGTAACTAACTTCAGCAAGCAGAATTTAAATTAAGTGTTGTATAGAATTTGAAATTAATATTATAGACAAAAAAGTTAATAGCTTCCGTACTGAGGAGCCAAAATTGTAAAACCCAATGCATTGAAGAGTGCCCTGTTACAGCAACTTACTACATGTAGCAGAATTTGAAGTAAGCATTGTGTTGAATTAATTAATGTTTTAAATATCAAAAACATAATAGCTTCTTTACTGTAAAACCAAAGGCCTTAAAGAATGCCTTATTATTGCAACTAACTACATTAAGCCAAATGTGAAGACACTCATGTGTTCTAATTAATGTTTTAAACATCAAAAATTCAATAACGTCTTTACTATAGTCTCTAACATTTTAAATCCAAGTGCATTAAAGACTACCATAGTAATGCAGCTTACCTCAACATGTAGAATTTGAGTAAAATCTGTTGACTTTTAATTAATTTTTTTACATACAATAATCAATAGCTTCTTTACTATTGAACCTACAGTTATGGAAATAAATGGATTACAGAGCCTATAGTTATTACGACTCACTACAGCAAGTAATAGTTAAATAAAGTCTTGTTAAATTATCATATAATTGTATAATTGTTTAATTGTATAATCTTGTTAATTATAATTCTAATAATGATGTAGACAAAAAAAATCTATAGCTTTTTTACTGTAGGAGCCAAAATTGTAAAATCAAATAAAAGAATGCCCTGTTTTGGCTACTTACTACAACAATCAAAATTTGAAGAAAGTCTTCTGTTAAACTTCAATTAATGTTTTAAACATCAAAAACTCAAACTTCTTTACTGTGTGGTGCAAAATTGTAAAACCAAATGCCTTAAAAACTATCCAATTATTGCTCAGTACAACAACAAGCAGAATTTGAATAACGCATTTTGTTTAGTCACTCACTCATCATTTACGCTGCTTATCCTCCTGGGTCGCGAGGGGTGCTGGAGCCTATCTCAGTGCTCATTGGGTGAAAGGCAGGAAACACCCTGGACGGGTCGCCAGTCCAACACAGGGCAGACACACAGATATAGACATTCGCACCACACTCACACCAAGTAATATCTCTAACTGGCCTGTCTTTGGACTGTGGGAGGAAACTGGAGCACCCAGAGGAAACCCATGCAGAAACTCCACACAGAAATGCATTTGCTTTTGCATCTGTAAAACCTAAATTAAACAACATATAAATTTTCTGTGGTACAAGTTATTTAAAATTTTAAAAACTTTAAACATATTGTTATTGATTCAATATTTTGCCTGAATAGAACCATCTGTAATACATTTGGTTTCATAATTATAGGCCCTACAGCAAAGACGCTATTGAATTTTTTGCTGGTTGGAAAATGAATTAAAATTAATCACAATGCTTTATTCAAATTCTGCTTGCTGTAGTATGTAGCAGTAACAGGATGACCTATGATGCTTTTGGTTTTATAACTGTAGGCCCTACAGTATGGAAGCTATTGAGTTTTTTATGTTTAAAAGATTAATATTCAACACAATGCTTTCTTCAACTTCTGCTCCATGTAGTAAGTTGCAGTAATAGGACACTCTTTAATGCACTTGGTTTAATAATTGTAGGGTCAAAAGTAAAGAAAGTATTGCCTTTAGATTTAAATTGTTAGGTCGTACAGTAAAGAAGTTACTTGGTTTTTGAAGTTGAAAATATTAAATAAAATTAAATACTAGAGTTTAGTCAGATTTGCTTGCTGTAATAAGTTGTAATGATGGAACAGTCTTTACTGTATTTGGTTTAACACTTTTGGGCTCAACAGTAAAGAAGCTGTTGAGCATTTGATGTTTAAAACATTAATTAATATTCAACACAATTCTTCAAATTCTGCTTCCTGTAGTAAGTTGCACTCTTTAATGCATTTCGTTTTATAAATTTTGGCTCCTACAGTAAATAAGCTCTTATTTTTTTGACTATAAAATATTAATTAAAATTCTACACAACAAATTTATACTTTGCTTGCTGTAGTTAGTTCCAATAATAGGGTACTTTTTTTACTGTATAAAGGAGCTATTGAATTTTTTGTTCATGAATAATTTATCATAATTTAACACAAGACTTTATTCAGATTTTACTTGCTGTAATAGGTTGTAATTTTTATTAAGAGTTTTGTAAGCTGCATTAATATGGTAGCAACACAAGGCTTTCTTCAAATTCTGTTTGCTGTAGTAAGTATTAGTAATAGGATGGTCTTTAATGCATTTGGGTTCATAATTGGAAACTCTAGAGTAAAGAAACTATTGATTATTGTGTATGAAAAATGCATTAAACTTTAACGCAACTCAAATTCTACTTGTAGGAAGTTGCAATAATAGGTCCCCCTTTAATGCATTAGCCCTTCAGTAAAGAAGCTATTGATTTTTTTAATGTTTAATGCATTAATTAAAATTAATCACTAGCGGTTAGAACAGTCTTTAATGCCTTGTATTTACATTTTTGGGCCCTACAATATATTTATTTTTTTAATGTGTATAGAATATTAATCATAAAAACACTTGCTGCTGTATTAAGTGAAAAGTACAGAAAGTACTTAATTGCTTGGGTTTCAGCTGGCCCTACAGTATAGATGCTGTTAAGATTGTGAGGTTCAGCACAGACTTTTAAATTAAGGACAGGCACTTTGATGTACGTGAAGATCCAGTTAATGCACCGTTCAATTCAGGAAATGTGTTGAGAATTTCTTTAATAAAAGCAATTAAGGTAAAAATAAACAGTGAAGTCCTAACTTGAGATCTCATCTTATGTTCTCTCTTAATGCTGTTGACATCAGAAGTGCGAATCTGTGTCGAATCTTGAGTGTAAAACCAACTTTACTACGGTGCTAAATTGTTCTTTAGGGTTGTCATTGCCATTTATTACACAATCACAGTGACTTGTAAGCAACCACCAGGGGATGTTTGGGTATCTTTGGCTGCGTCCAAAACCACATACACTAGTTACCTTGCTAGCTAAATAGTGTGTCAGAAATAATACACACCTATTACAATGGCATTTATAAGTGTAATACGGCTCGTACAGTAATGTGATTTTAGATGCAGCGCCTGTCTTTCTCCTTCACAGATGCTGAATATGAAAGCCCCTGTTGTGCTTCTGTTTGTCGCACTGTGCTGCGCTTCCTGCGATAAAGTGCTGCAAGCGGAGCGCCGAATTTCACACCATCACAATCACGAACATAGTGCAAACGCTTTTCTTGATGCTGAGGTAGGGATGGACAGTGAAGCCCAAACTGTATTGTAAAGATGTTTTGAGAACATCATAAACTACAACAAAGGTATATATTTTTAAAGAACATGTAATCAGAGTGTGAGGACAACGGTGTGTTCCATTGGCCACTTTCCAGTAAGGCAACACATGGATGGTGTTAGTCACTATAATTTACAGAAGTTAGCTTAAGAAGCGGGAATGTCCGGATATACCTAAACCTACGGGCAGGTGATGCAGCAAAAATGTAATATCTTACAATACTTAAATAAACATTTTTATGACACACGATATGTATTGCAAAATTAAAAAAAAAAAATACTGTAGCGTCAGCAAAGAAGACGACCCGGAGTCTGACATTTTCTGTTAGAAAAATGCTCTTTATTGAAACATCAGGCAGTGGGGAGCCAACCTACTTGGTGAAAATGGCTGAACAGGTCACCAAAAGAAAAGCACAACCACAACATAGCACAACTTAACTATTAAGTCCAGTGGGCCAACTTGTTTTTTCAACATTTTCCATACTTTGGTACAGCAAGTCCAGTTAAACATGACTATTTTTGCTCTCTTGGTAAGGAATCTTGTAGTGATTTAGTGTTATTAAAGTAGTGACAATATCCACAATCTCCTCAGAAAAGCATATTATCGCAATAACGATAAAATATCAATATTAACAATATTGATAAAATATTATTAACCACTTCTGTCTAAACCTATGTTCTCCCCATGAGTTGTTCATAGTTTCAACACTTAGACACAGATACAGTTATATGCAAACATTTGAAAACCCCTGGTCAGACTACGTGTTTTGATGACTGTGTTTCTCATTTCAAGTGAGAATAAGTTCATCTTCTCTACAGAGAACACACTTCTGCACATTTTAATGTACAATTTCTGTTTATCTGATGAAAAGAAAAGTTGTCACATTGTATATTTTATTTACTTTTCCCAATATATTAAACTCTTCAAATAAACAAACTGTACATTAAAATTTGCAGATTCATTCCTTATAGAGAATCAACAGAATAAGTAATTTGACCAGGGGTGTTCTTACTTACTCTACACACACTCTATACTACTCTATAAAGTTAGACAGTTTAACATTTGGTGGTCACTGACTATAAACAAGAGAGATACAACTAATAAAACTTGGACCTTAACAAAGGGTTTACAAAGGTTTATGCTTTGGCTGTATTTGTAAATGGTTGCATAAGTACGGTTTACAAATGTGTTAATAATTGTACATTTTGAAACATCCAGCTAATTCTTACCCTTTGGCCAAAATCAGAAGGCTGACAACTCACACAACTCACTCTGCCAGTCAGTAATAGTCAGAATTTCACCAATTTTTCAAAATTTCTGCATATTTAGCTCATTCACATGTAAACAAAGTAGAAACATGTAAACCAGAGAATCTGTTCACGTCAGTGATGATGGGATCGTGACATTTCCCCCCAATTCCCCCCCCCCGCCCCCCTTCATAGATTTACCACTACTTTACCATCGTGTGCGTTACATATGAAAGACACAGGTTGTTTGGATAGCAAATAAAATGGCTATGTTTGCATTGTAGATGTCACAACCCCTGGTTCCCATCACTGCCGTAGTAAAGAAAATCGGATTCAGTAAGTTACTCTACAATGCACCAGTTCACATCAGACCACTATGAATGACTTTGTTTACATCTCAGTGATTGAATTTTGGAGAAATTCTGAAAAATCGGAGGAATTCCCCTTTAAGCGATGTCTGAGTAGAGTGGTGCCAGGAATATGTGGATTATAAGCCCTACACTGACAGACTCATAAATACTTGGTATCAATCACCATAATTATAACTATCTGTTATTATTTAGGATAAAGATGAGATTAAGAAATTGAGTCCATCTGAACAGAGGAAGAAAATGGTGGAGATAGTAAAGAGAATTGACACTGACTCAGACAAATACTTGACTCCAGGTGAGTAAAAATCAGGTTGATTCAGATGTATATGTTCATTATTTCAAGAAGTAAGCATTAAGAGTAGGTTGTAGAAATTACAGGATAACACTAAATTACTTTTGTTGTGTTGTAAATAAAGTCTATGTTGGTCTGTTTCAAAGTGACTCTGTGCTCTTGTGCTTTGACAGAGGAAATCACATTATGGATACAGAAGGTGTACAGGAGGTATGCAATGGACGATGCAGAGGAACGCTTCCCAGGCTTTGATACAAACAACGATGGTCTGGTTTCTTGGGATGAATACAACATGGTGATGCATGGGCATACTGTTGAAGTGGATGAAAATGCAGTTCTTGAGGACCCAGAAGAAGAATCTCTCAGATTTGTATTTGAAAAAGACATTACACATCAAAACGTGATATTGCATTATTTCATTCTGATATATTTTGTCTACAGTATCATTCAAACTAACTCTACCATTCACAGCTTCATTTGAAGGAGAAAAGGCGATTTGACTTTGCTGATGTGGATGGCACACCTGGCTTGAACTTGACAGAATTTCTTGCGTTTACACATCCGTCTGAAGTAGATCACATGGCGGTAAGTCACTGACACTGCAATGGCAACATGGTAATAAACTTGTTGGTTCTAGTCATCTGAATTACTCTGGTTGCTTTAAAAGTTTGTTGTTTGTTTTCAGCTGAAAGTTTTGTTTGTGCTTGTAGGATTTTGCAATTGAAGATGTGTTGAGTGAGTATGACTTGGACAAAGATGGATTTATCAGTCTGAGTGAATTCATCGGAGATCTCAGAGCAAATGGTAAAGATTAAACCCAGCGAAATAGTTAGGTCTGAAAGATTAACTGTTTATATGTCAAAGTCACAGTTTGAACATGTGCAATTTTCAAATGGCAGGAGCTGCCTTTTAATTATAGCATATATTATCCAGAATGTGTTCTAAGTGGGGAAACGTAAGCCAGTAACATGGAGCTTGTGAAATACATGTAGATGAGTTAGACCAATCAAAAGCAACCAGTCACCCATGTGCAATGTATGTGACAACAAACCTACAACTAACTGTCAGTCTGGTACAGTATGCCAGACATTCTGGTGGTCTTTGCCAAAATAACAGGCCTTAATTTATAGAAAATTATTACATTTTAAATCACAGTCACAATACTGGCCAGAAAAATCATAATTAGATGTTTTCCCCAAATCGTGCAGTTTAGGTGTACAGTTGGAGACTATAACTCATTTTTTTCCTCAGGCACAACTATAGCTTATCTTTTCTCCATGCACAATTTGTGTTAGTCATCGTCTAGCCATTCAGTGTCCACAGGACCACTGTTTCCTGGATGTTTTGGTTGCCAGCCTACCCTCAGCCCAGCAGTAACATAGCCAGCACTGACACAACATTGCTGCACCTGATGCAACCATACCAGCACAACACCCACTAACATGCAACGACCATGTTGGTATCACTCCTGTGCTAAGAATGGCTCACCACCAAAATAATATCTGGCCAGTGGCGGTCCTTTTCCATAGAAGGATGAGGTTAAGGGTGGCTAAGTTGTGCATATGAGATACAGTCAGTAACTGTTAACCTACAAAGTGCACTTATAGGTGTGTACCTTATAAAATAGCCAGTTTTTTCCATAATTTGTATGCACCTGCAATATCTGTTTGCTTTTTTTCAAAGATGATGATGAGCCATCTCAGTGGGAGATTGAGGAGACAGTTCGATTTAAAGACCTTTATGACCAGGACAAGGACGGCAAGTTAAACCGGGATGAGCAGCTGCGGTGGGTTGCTCCAAACAGCTATGGTTCAGCACGAGAAGAGGTTGGTGGAAGATCAATGCATTTGTTGTCATGTTCATGAAACCAGTTTGAGATGACTTTTGCTTTGTGACATGGTGCATTATCATGCTGGAAGTAGAAGTAGAAGATGGGTAAATTGTGGCCAGGAAGGGATGCACATGGTCAACAACAATACTCAAATAGGCTGTGGCCTTTAAGCGATGATTGATTGGTATTAACAGCCCCAAAGTGTGCCAAGAAAACATTCCCCACACCATTACACCACCTCCACCAGCCTGGACTGTTGACACAAGGCAGACTGTGTCAATGGATTTAAGCTGTATCTGTATGCTTCATTGTCGTGTTTTGAACGTAATAATGCAACACATGTCTCTCTCTCTCACTTTGCGCAGCCATGCTGTTTTAACACATGCAAAGTGCATTGGTGTTGTCATGTTGAAATAAGCATGGCCCCTGAAAAAGATGTTGTCTAGAACCAAAACTGGTCCAGTGTTAATGGTGCCTTAACAGATGTGCAAGTTACCAACTAATCAATATATTAATCACTGCTTTCTGTTTAATATGTACATTTTACCTACTGTCCCAACTTTTTTGGGATAATACAGATAATGCTGAATTTTCTTTTCTTCTGTGTTAAACAGGCTGTTCATCTAATCAAGGAAATGGATCAAGATGGAGATGAAAGGCTTTCAGAAGCAGAGATTTTGAAGAACCAAGATATTTTCATGAATAGTGAAGTAACGGACTATGGTAGACAGCTCCATGTGCCACATGATGAGTTATAATGTTTTTTGTCATCTCTGTTGTTATATTGCAATTTTTTTTACTTTGCTTTTCTACTGAAAAACTGAAACTTTTGTCTAGGAGTACTAGAAGTAGGATCCTGCACTGGTTAGTCATATTTAGAATGTTTTTCAGTTAAAGCATAAAATTAAGGCTGAACTTTGTATATTAAGAAGGTTGTAGATGGTGCCTGTATTTTATTTACCCTAAAGTAATTTTCCTCAAATTTTTTTTCTGCACATGAAAGAAAGGATTTAGCAATTGTCTTAATTTCTTAGAATTATGTCAGTAAAGTTGCATCTCTTAGCGTGTGTAACATAATTATTCACTTAAAAACTTATATTAGTTTGGGACATTTGCTCTGAATGTAGTACTTAGTTACTAATAACTATGGCAAGCATCATGGTGTCCAGCTGCTTAAAACTGAAAATAGCCCATACTGACTTATATTGACACGCAATCTGACAAGATCAAGGCTCTGCATGTGTATAAGACTGCACTAACAGGTATCTTACAGCGCCAGAAGGCTGCAACGTAAATATGCTTCACTAACCACTATTTTGAGGAATTAGGTTTTGAATTGGTGCCAAAACCCTCACGTCATATTTCTTGTATTTCACTACATCTTCTATAGTGCACTATGCACTCAAAACAAGATTGCCATCTGTCTTAAAAAGTGTTCTGCCAAAAGAATAAGTTCTTAAAAGGTCTTAAAATTGTACGTTTTCCTAGTTTGTTATGACTCAGAAGCCACCCTGCACTAAATGGAAACTGGTGTTGTATGAGCCACTCATGGCATAGCTGAGTGTTCAATGGCTGAAAATTCATGTTCATCTTGATGTATGTTTGATGAAGTCTATAAACACTGATATTTACAAGAAAAAGATATGTATTTTCTTTAGTGACATATTTTGTTATGTGTTAGCGTTTTGATCTGGGGCCTGTCTCATGAAGCGGGATTTCTTGCTTAACCAGCTAACTTTTCGCTTAGTTTGGTCTAAACCTGGATTCTTGGTCTTACAACAGTGGAACGCTTTTATTGGGCTACAACACCATGGCAACTTGTGCTGCACTGCTTCTCCAGGGCATTCAATCGTAAACTGCCTTACTGTCTACATATTTACACACATTTCTTCCTGCTTTCTTTTTTTTTTTTTAAATAAGCCGCTCAATGTTTCACGCGATTGGCTGTTTTTCATAAACTTTCATGCTTTATTTTTCATCTGCGACAGACACCTGAAGGTGGTTACTGAGAGTCTGTGTGTATGACTTTTAATGTGATTTCCAAATGATGCTTTATTAAACTCACAAAATAACAAGTGTATATATAAACGTTCATTGCAAGTTCATTGCTTTGCTGATTTGATCCCTTTGTTGGAAACACTTTTGATTTGACAGCAGTGGTTATTGATGTCTAAAAAGACGTATAAAAAAAATGGAAGGTCATCAAGCTCAATGATTGCAGCGTCACCTGAAATCAACAGATAGTCAAATCACTGCGTCACCACCTAAATGGTGCAGGGAACAAATCAAGCTGTACTCTGGTTTATGGCTGCTTTGGTTTCTGCCATATAGAAGATCTTACATTTTCTGCTGTACCGAAACAGTTAGCAGATATGCACTATATGTCCAAACATTTCCAGAAACCCCTTCCAATTAGTGAATTCAGCTACTATAAGGCACATCCTTTAGTGATACAGCAGTACACAGCTTGTATAATTTCCCTAGAAAAGCACTGCGAATAGAATGGGACAAGCCTGAGGTCACCATGCCCAATGAACTGCTTATGATCCAGGACTAATCGTTCAAGAGCAGTACCTGAACTCATTAATGCTCTTGTGGCTGAATGCAATCAAATCATTGGAATCGTGGAATTCTAATTATTGTTTTCATTTTTGAGATAAAGGAGTTGTAATATGTAAACATTGTTAAAAGTTTTAAACTGGATTGTTCACTCTCCAATCCGTACAGGCCCGAAATGTAAACTAGACTGCAAAATCTGTGATGTCATAAAAAACCAACACATTTACGCATATCCACCTATTTATGCTAAAGTTAGTTTCAGCCCAGACTTCTTTTTGAATGAGACACAATAAAGAACAGCCAATCAGAAAAGAGCTTATTTACATTTATTAGTTTTCAAAGCATGGTAACAAAAACAGCCTGTTTGAATCTAAAGGATAAAGCAAGATTTTGGAAGATCATGTAAAAATGAATTATGACTGTTTTTAGTATGTAAAACCACCTGAATGTTATTTACAAAAATACATAAAATGTCTTAAATGGGCCCATTAAAAAAGTAGAGGCTGTTACTGCAACAAAATAACTACCAATAAACCTTGTTTTGTGAAGAAATGTTGGATGAGCAGGTGTCTACACAGTTGTGTACCACCTGAGTGCAAGTTACTGACGCATAAAACATTTTGAAAGCCCAACTTTCCAGCAGGCTCAGCCTATCCAGTATTTAAATGTTGGCTACAACCAAGCTGTTATCTTTCAGGCAGTCTGTGGTCAATGACATAATACAAAAGCTCTTCCTCATCCTAGTCAAACGTAGGCACCACAAGTGAACTGCTGTGAGGTTTCTGGTTTCCTGTGCGTATTTTTCTCGTGCTTTTGTTAACTGAATTTTTACTTCATTTCTTTCAGTTAGTTAAGCGCTGCTTGTTGAAGTTATATTTTGCTAGGGTGGAATAAAAAGGAAGCATAAAAGGAGACGTAAAGATGACAATGTTACAGTTCAAAGATGCCTTTTGGGTAAGTGACCTGGCACAGCCCTGACTGTACGTTTGTAACTTTTGATGATTACAGATCAAATTTTAGTTATTGCAGATGAGATGTTTCAGTTATAGCCCAGCGCAGTTGTGCATATGAGTATTGATAGTGTATCAGTTGCATAACTGAGTTTTTGTAATGTTTCTGTTTGAACTGAAGCTTTAACTACTTCTTGTACATTTTGAGAACACGAATGTTTCATGGCTACAGGCTACAGGTTGTCATCTGTACAAGGTATACTTGCCGTTCTGTATCTGCTAACAGTTGTGATAGTTCTTAATACCAAACAAAACACTCAAAACAGTTCACCTAGCTACATATTCAGAGAATTATGCTTCGCCTGAGCCAGGGTGAGAGTGTGCGTGTGTGGGGGGTTTCTGTGTAATTTTGGTGATAGGAGGCATCAGTGCTCATATGTTTCAGCATTGTCATGGTGAACCACTTCCACGCTATTGTGGGCTCCCAGTGATGAATTGTTCTGCTCTGGCTCAGCCATTACTTTGACTTTGATCTCTTCACTGAGTGGCACTGTCACAGCTGAAGTGTTCAAAGCAACATGGAAAGCTTCTGGGTTGATTTGCATCATAGATCTTGCTTCATAAACCTGTTTCAGCTTGGGCACGTTAAGAAGTGTTCCCAAAGCAGACTGTTCGAGCACAGTTCTGATCTTTTTCTGTTGCGGGGGAATCCCATCGATATGTATGCATAATTACATTTTTTACATTGTTTACATAAGATGTAAACAAAGATGTTCAGAGTGTTTTAATGTCAAATGTGCCGTTCTAGAGAAGAAGTCAGAACTGACCGGTGGTTATAGGAACCAGACGTCTGAAGTGTTCATTGCTGCTAAAAAGTGCTTTTACTATTCATGTAATAGAAAGCTACTACATGAAATGGGTGTGAATACACTGACTGATGCCTGATAGACATTGCTTTACAATAATTTAGAAAGTTTGTACCAAATGGTAATTTCACAGGAGAAGGAAAAAAACTTTTTTTCCCCAAGGTATTTTGGATGGTTTCTGTTGGCCCATTTAGTATGAAATTTGTACACTTTGAAATGATTTGTAATTTTTTTCAATTATGTAATAAAAAGTAAAAACAGGAAAATCAGTGGTAAAGGGGTTTGTGGTGATATGTGCAAAGACAAATTAGTTCCTCCACCACCGTAAAAAAAAAAGGCAAGAAGTTTCACCACAATGCACTGTTTCACATCAAAACACTCTGATTGACTTTACATCTCAATCATTGAATTATTCAGAAATGTTAATAAAACGGTGGAATTCCACTAAAAGTGGTGAAGATGCAGAGGGCAAAGCATAGAAAGATGGTTTAATTCTGTGTGCTGAAATGCAAGCACTAGAACAACAATCTAGGAACGGTTTGAGGCATAGTATCGTGTTTTATTTCCAACCTCAGAAACCAGAATGTTTGCCTTGATTCCAGAATCCAGGATGAGTAACCTTATGATGCATGGGTAGTATGGAAAAATGCTCTTGTGATTTAAAACAGGCCAAACTACAGCATGTGCTAAATATGTGGTCATCATTTAGGGATACAGTGCAGCTTTGAGTGCTCCTCTGGATTTAAATTTTCTGCTTATGATTATATGATCCAGAAAAAAATACTGAGATAACGGCTCCATTGTTGGCACTTAGGGCACAGAATTCACCAGCAATGCTGGCTATGAAGCTCTCACCCAGAGACTCTGTGATGGCCGGCGGACTTGCAAAGACATGGAGGAGCTCTTGAAGATGAGGTGATAACTCCAAATGATTTCTTTTGTCTTGAACAAAATTCTAAACTGTGAAGTTATGTGGTGAAAGGTGGCTTCCACTCTTCATAGGGCAATGGCTGAAGAGAGGTATGGCAAAGAGTTAGTAACTATTGCACGAAAGGCTGGAGGCCAAAGTGAAATAGGGTAAGAGGATACAGCTCCCAGTCACAATTGATAACTGATAATGAATAGTAGTGCAATATAACTGTAAATTAGTCTTGAAAGTGAAAGTTACTCCTCTGTATATGCCTAACATTGCTATCTCATTTTTTCTTGAAGCACTTTAAAGATATCGTTTGACCAACTTAAAACACGTAAGTGTTAGGACAGCATTTGTTGTTGTTTTTGTCAGTTTTTGTACAATCACATCAATTTGATCTGTGAACTAGCTTCTTATGGGTCATTGAAATTGCCATGTCATTTATATCACAGAAATCGAGAACATTGGAAATTTGCATATCCAGTTATCGGGGATGTTAAAAGAAGAGGTCAAGCGCATGGAGCACTTCAGAGAGCGCCAGAAAGAGCAGCGCAAAAAGGTACATGCGGTATCTCACTGTAGCACACCAATCATGGCTTTGCACTTATGCCTGCTTTAGAGACAGTGGGTTGCTTCCTGTGGACACCCCTCTATGTCAAGTTTCATCAGCCCACAGTCAAACTGCAAGTCTTTTTTTTTCTAGCTCTCAATTCTCAGTTGTATGACTAGCAAGCTAAGCCTAATAGTTTTGCTTTTTTCAGTAACTCTCTTTTCTTGGTGGACAAGTGTGTTTAGGGAAAATTCCACCAATTTTTCAAAATATATTCAAAATTAAATAGTTAAGATTTGGAGAAAGTCATTCAGAGTGGTTTGATGTGAAATACTCTAGAGAAACTTACCAAGTCAGAATTGTTGACAGTGTTGGTGATAGGAACCGGACATCTGAAGCATTAAATGTGCCTAAAAGCTACACCACAGAAAACCATTACATGAAATGGTTATGAATAAAGTGCCTGACACTATGTTTTATGATAGTTTTGGTCTAAAATGTATTTTTACTAAATCCATTTATGGCGGACGGATACAGTCATACCCAAAGGTTTGGACACCCCGGGTCAAATTAAATGTTTTGTTGTTTTTGTGAAAGTGAAAATAAGTTAACACATCATCTACAAAGAACAAACTTAAATGAGTTTAACATATTGGAAAGAAATAAAACATAAGATATAAAATTGTCCATACATTTTGCATAGGCCACATTTTATGTTAAATTCAGCAAATAAACAGTAAGTATGAACAAAAATGTACAGAACTGTGTTCTCAGTAGGGGATCACTCAACAACTAAATACAGTATCCAACTAAATACAGTATTTACCAACATAGACATACACCTGGCTCCTATTACCACCACTGTAAAGAAATCTGACTCACTTTCTCTATAATGAACCATTTCACATCAGACCACTCTGAATGACTTTGTTTACATCTCAACAATTGAATTATGAAGAACATTTGAGAAAAAATTGGTGGCATTTTCTTTTTAACAGTCAGCCACAATGATCTCTAACCAAGTAACTTCTGTCTGCTTTTTTTTCTCACCGTCAGTGCTATTCTGTAAATAAACATGTATAGTACTTCTCGGTATCTAAATAGATTAACATGCAATTTAAATTGTCTTTAAAATGTGATGATGCTTTAATTGCATATTTACACCTTGCTGCAGTTTGAGGGAATCATGGAGAAGGTTCAGAAGACCAAGGTTGCACTGTACAAGAAAACAATGGAGGTGAGCCTGCAAGACTCTCTGATAAAGCACAAGTGTCACCACTCTTGAAATGAGGATTATTTGCTTTGAGTTTCAATTGGAGTCCATACAATACTGTGCAAAAGTCAGACACCACCACTGTATTTACTTTCCAGTTAAAACAGCCACTTAATACAAGTTATTCACTTTTCAGGACAGAGTACTGAGAACTTATTAAGAGATATAGAGAAAACTAGGGACTCCTAACAACAGTGTTGTTGATGGACCACAAATCCTGTCCCCATCAGATAAACAGTACTTAAGCTTTCATCTTTGAGAGGGAGGAGAAAATCAAGCTCCACTCTTGCTTCAGATCTGAAAACATCCACAGGTGTTTCTGTCCATCCTTCCACTGTGAGAAGACAGCTCAACACTAAGAGTCTGAAAGGATGTGTGGCTGTCAAGACGCCGTTGCTCAGAAACGGACATAGACTAAAAAAAGCTTTTTAGAAAAAAGAGAAAATTTGCAAATCAAACAAAGAATCTGTTGGTGTGATGGACTGACCACCCCAGAGTCCAGGCCTCAACATAATTGAATACGATTGGGGTTATTTGGATTGTGAGAAGCAGAAAATGCAACCAAGACTGAACTTTGGAGGTATGGAAAAATATCCTTGAAGATTTCTTTCAAAAACTGAAAACAAGTCTCCCAAAAAGAATGGAAGCTGTAATAAAGGCAAAGGATGGGTACACTATACACAGTACCAAAAACTGTATATTACATTTATAAATGTATGGGTTCTGGCTTTTGCACAGCATTGTATGTACTGCATGCAATAGAGACTTGTGTTGAATGTGTTTTCTCATGAATTCAAGAAAATTCAAGGAACTGCAAGTCTATATGTGACACTGAGAGAACAAGAGAGCAGCAGAACAGGAAGAGGAAGAAGCATTCAAAACCGATTTAAATCGGGGTGCATTTCCGTGCATGTGTGTGTATGTGTGTGTGTTCTTAGTTCAGGAAGTTACTCTTCTCTGCCTGAATAATATTTCTGAAACACACACACACATGCACAGGGTTTCGCAATACTAGGTTTCCCTATTCCTCATCTTTGCAATTTCCTCAAAACATGCAGTGTGTTCTCAAACACGTTTTATCACCTTTTATTTCTTCATTACAGTTTGCTTGAGAAACTCATAATTTGTGTCCCAGGCCACATTCATAAAGCACAGAGCTTGTGCCTAAATAAAGTTAGCAAAAATTCATAGCACCATGGACCCAAATGGCATAAAGCTAACAAGACCTGCTCTTCTTTATTTCTCACAGTCTAAAAGATCCTATGAGCAGAAATGTAGAGAAGCAGACGAGGCCGAACAGGCAGCAGACAAGATCAACAACACTACCACCCCCAAACAGGCCGAAAAGGTAAAATACATTGTTACAGTTGTTTAAACACCCCCGGTCAAATCACATGTTTTGTTGATTTTTGTTGAAGTAAAAATATGTACACATTCTCGACTTAAAAATGGCGTTTTTTTTGTAATTTTGTAAGGCATACGTTTTATTTATTCGCTGAATTTAACATGTTGGGGAAAACAATATAAAATATAAATTGTGCCATGACTTTTGCACAGGCCACATTGAAAATGTGTTCTCTGGAAAGGATGTGTACTTATTCTCACTTAGAAAATAAACAAAACATGTAATTTGGCCAGTGGCGTCCAAACCTTTGCATATGTCGAGGTTACCTCTAGTCTATTTTACATATAGCCTCAAGTGTCTGTTACAAGCATCTTGCAGTATTAAAGGAGAATTCTACCAATTTATCAACATTTCTTCATAAATGACATTGTTAAGATGTTAACGAAGTCATTCAGAGTGGTTTGATGTGACGTGCCATTTAAGAATCTTTCTGGCTCTGTGCTGGTGATAGAAACAGATCTACAAGTAATTTAATGCCACCAAAATCTAAGCTCCCTCACAGAAAGCTATTACTGGAATTGGTAAAAAATATGCTGCCCGATGCCTGAAACATTGTTTTATGATGATGAATGATGAATAAGTCTTTGGTCAAATCTCTTTTTTAAAAAAGTCTTTTAATACATTCATGGTGAAGAGATACATGTTGGCATGTGTAAAGCAAAATAATCCCAGAAGGAAACTTATTTTTTCAGTTTCACCTCTATTTTATGTTCATCAACATTACATACAAAAGCTCAGATGTTCACTGGTCATTTTGGGTCATAAATAGAATGGCTGTATTTGTGTTGTGGACATTGTGGCTCCTGGTTCCTGTCACCACCACTATAAGTTTCTATATAATGCACCATTTCCTCAAACCACTCTGAATGACTTTGTTTACATATCAACAATGGAATTATACAGAATGTTTTTAAATGCAATTGAAAAAGACAAAAACATTTTGAAATGCAATGAAATAGAAATTATTTACACATGCATCAGTAGGAATCTTTGTATAACATTCTACCCCATCATATCCTATGTAAAGAATAACCATTCTAGAGACGATCACTGATGCACATTCTGATGAAATTTGGAGATTTTAAGCCTTACAGACTGAGGAAAACAAATAATGTATTAGGCTAATTAAAACGTTTTGCTAAATGCTAAATTAAAACATAATTGAAGGTATTAATTTGTTTTCCCTTGTGCTGTTGGAATTCTGAGCAAACACATAGTGATTTGTACCATTACATGTGTTTTATGCTTCACAGTTACAAAACAAGGCCAAACAATGCAGAGAAGCTGCTGGAGATGCAGGTGAGAACTGAACCTTTATTGTTCAGCTAATTTAAATGAAGCCTTCTTTGAAACTAGATTTGCTACTTTCCTGGAGTGTTGTGACCCCCCCCCATCTCTCTCTCCCTTTAAAAAAGAGAACTGAAAGCACAGTAACATTTTATGTCTTTTTATTTCAATACATAACTGTCTGTGGTTAATCTGACACAGATAAGAAATAATTTCAGTTTAACAGCTGCTTCAATTACCACATCAACTCAACAAACTCATCTAAAACATGATCTCTTTATTCAGAGAAACAGTACATGTCAAACATCGATCAACTGGACAAGATTAGACAAGAATGGGAGACTACGCATGAAAGTACATGTGAGGTAGTGTAAGATGCTCCAATGTTCACCTTCAGCTGACTACATTTTGGTCAGCACACATCCAGATATGCTAAACCACACAGGCACAGATACATCACATCTGCTCTTTTTTTAGCTCTCTGACAACCTCAGCTACTGCAGCTATCAGCTTCTGTGAGAGCCAATAGCAATTCAGAAAGACTAGAAATTCACTCAGCTAGGTCTCTGCCAACATCCTGTCCAACCACACATATGTCCACGTACTAACGTAGAGAAACCCAGTAACTCTGTCTGTACTTTAGTTAGTGAAAATTCAAAGAAGACTGCTTTGCTATTTAGGTATGCTAGCTATGAGATGCTGACAGCAAATAGAGGGGAATTCATAAGCGCTTTTAGGCATTTAAAGATGTAAAGATTAAAGATTTATGGGGACCTTGTACAACCCCATTTCCATTTGGGATGGGGTATGTTTACCACTGTGTTTCATCACCTCTTCTTTTAACAACACTCTGTAAGCGTTTGGGAACTGAGGAGACCAATTGCTGTAATTTTGAAAGTGAAATGTTTTCCCATTCTTACTTAACATAGGATTTCAGCTGCTTTTCATTTCATAACCCTCCATATTTATTAATGAGTGATAGTCTGGACTGCAGGGAGGTCAGTTTAGCACCCAGACTCTTTCAACACAGAGCAATGCTGTTGTAATACATGCACAATGTGGTTTGACGTTGTCTTGCTGAAATAAGCAAGCCATGCCATGTGCACTAATGCACCTCTATACTGTCATGAATACTGGCTTTTGAACTTTGCATTGATAACAAGCTGAGTGGTCTTTAGCCCAGAGGGCACAGTGTCCATGATTTCTAAAAAAAAATTTCAAATGTTGGTTCATTGGACCACTGGGGCAGTGCTCCACTTCACCTCAGTCCATTTTAAATTAGCTCAGGCCCAGAGAAGGCGGCAGTGTTTCTGGATCTTGTTTATATGTGGTTTCTTCTTTGCGTTTTAGAGTTTTAACTTGCATTTGTGGATGCGGTGATTAACTGTTTTCACAGACAGTGCTTTTCAGAAGTGTTCCTGAGCCCATGCAGTAATTTCCACTTAAGAATTAATGTAGTGGCACCTGAGGGCCCAAAAATCAAGAGCAGCAAATACTGGTTTTTGGCCTTGTCCCTTGCATATAGAGATTTCTCCAGATTCTCTGAATCTTTCAATGATTTTATTTACCGTAGATGATGAAAAGCAAAAGATCTTTGCTGTTTTACGTTGAGAAACGTTATTCTTGAATTGTTGCACTATTTGCTTATGCAGTCGTTCACAGAGTGGTGAACCCCTCCCCATCTTTACTTTTGAAAGACTCAGCCTCTCTGGGATGCTCTTTTATACCCAATCATGTTATTGACCTGTTGCCAATCAACCACGAGGTGTTTTTTTAGCATTACACAACTTTACCAACCTTTTTTTGCCCCCCTCCCAACTTTTTTGGAACATGTTGTTGGCATCAAATTCTAAATGGGCAAATACTTTTCAATAAACAATAAACTTTCTCAATTTCAACATTTGATATGTTGTCTTTGTACTATTTTCAATTAAATATAGGCGTTAAATGGTTTGCACATCATTGCATTTTGTTTTTATTTACATTTTGCACAGCGTCCCAACTTTTTTGGAAATGGGGTTGTACTTGTTTTATGTAATCTTAACTTTTACACTTACCTTGTTTGATTTGATACAGACCTAATGAACTTCTTTAGTTTGGTCTGTCAGGTGTGAACCTGTACTTGAGTCTGCATCAAACAACTGAACTGTGGTCCACCAAAAAATCATAGGCTCTCAGCCTGCTTTCAAGTTAACCCTGGTTCAGTTCGCTGCTGGTAGGAATGCATTTTTATGATGGTTTCCACCAAATGAGGGAATTCAGCATCAGAGCATGATTCTCTCTTCTTCTAGTAGCACATCAGTGCTGTACTGATTACTTAACCTAAGACTTTGACATTTGGCTCTCGATAGATGATCATTCTTGTAGCACAAGTTTCTGCTAATATCAGCAGATGAACAATAAAATAATAGCATCAGTGACCTGATTGGTTACTTTTCAATTGGCAAACCAATCATAAAGAAACAGACATCAAATAAGTTGTGTTATTAATGCTTTAATTGTGATTCACATACATGTTAAGTGATTCTATTTTCTTGTTATGTTTTGATTGGAAATGAAGGATTAAATTGTTATTTTTCTTTCTAATTGGAAAGTGACAGTGGAATTAACCGCTTAATCGCTTTTTGATTTCCAATAGGTGGAATCAATTTAGTGAGAAAAAAAGTCACTGTGAGCACAAGCAGTAGTCAAATGATCATTTAACAGTTAGCAAAACCTTTATACAGTCAGACAACCACAGGTGTGGAAAGTGTTCTTAGGAGAGGTGAATACATGACAAAATAGCCAACTAAAAGCAATCAGCAGTCATTTTCAGCCATGACTAATGCAGATGGTAACCAGTTAAACAGGACTGCGAGCAGGAGCGTAACAAAACTTTTAGGTTGTGGGTGGGAGCGGGACAGTGCAGATTTTCCGCAGGAGCAGGCAGGAACTGGATAATCAGAAAATCAGTCCCGCACCGACCTCTACTGTGTATGAGTTTGGCTATCAAACATGTGTGCACAAGAGTTGGACTGTGTGTCAGCGTCACAGTACAGTAGAAAACTTTAGAAAACAGCACAAATACTGCCAGATATTTGAACTACCTCACTTTAGTTAAAAAAGTAGTTTGGCAACAAATCAAATTAACATGATTCATTACTTACCCCAGATGCAGTCGATCAGCCAAGACATGTCTGATGTCTGAATTGTGCTTCTTTAGTTTATAATGGGAGATGCTTGGCTAACATTGCTAACACTGGAGTTGGATTGTCACCAAACTCATCTCTGTGAATACATGCCAAAATCTTAATTTATTTGCTTTGAATATCCATCCAAAATCTATGTAAATAAGTTTTAAAAACAATTTAGTAGAATGGCTTATTTAAACATTTAAGCTAAAATTGGAACTACCTTTTCATCCGCATAACAGCTCCCTTTGTAGTACTACTCTGTCACTACGCAGGTATCACGTTTGATTTTTTAGCATAGTTAAGACTTCATAACTGTAGGTCAGTTAACTAAAAGATGCAGCTCGAATAATGATAAAGCTATGAAATACTTTGATGCATTCCATTTTGTATAAACAGTAAACAGAACATCTAGGTGTAGTTCAGTATAGACCAAATCAGGGTGTTTGTAAACAAGAACGTTGGCTGTACTTCCAGGTAGATAACTCATCCAGTCAGTGATTCAGCTGAGAGAGAGAGAGAGAGAGAGAGAGAGAGAGAGAGAGAGAGAGGTCAAAATTAATGAATGAATGAAAAAGTCTCTTGGAAAACTACCTTGGGTGCATTCTCATGATTAAATGATAAAAAATTTAACCCCATGTAGTCGAGTTAATGGTGAGGTTTTTGGAGTGGAAAGCTCAGTTTAAAATAGAGTTTATGGCTGCCACACTGTTCACCTATGCAGAGAAGTTTATTTTTGCTTTTATGGACTAAAGTAAGCCATACTGTGTTCTAAACCACATGGATATTTCTGACCTAAACAAATAAACATCTGGATGCGGTTGAGCGGGTTGAGAGAAGTTTTTGGGCATGTATTTACAGAGATGAGTTTGGTTACAATCTAAGTACAGTGTTTGTTAGCAATGTATTGTCTGCATTTCCGTTGCAAACTAAAGAAGCAAACGTGACATACCTAACATGTCTTAGCTGATTGACTGCATCACAGGTAAGCGATAAATCACGTTAATCACGATACTGATCCTTTTTGCTTGTAAAAACTGCCAAATATATTGGCTATTTAGTAAAATGTAGTAACTTCAACTGATCTGCTATTATTGATTCTACCCCTTCTGAATGAAGGCTACCGCACACCAGCCTGTGGTGCCCAGGGGCTAAATTCGGCCGGAGCCCACCAGAGCAGAGCTCTGGCACCTTTCCTTTGTGTGAATGGCAAACAGTAATTTGACGGCAATATAAGTGACTTCCATAACAATCTTAATGAAATCCGTTAAACTATTCAATGTGATAAGCCGCCTTCACAGACAAACAGAGACGTATTTTGCGCAGCTGTCTTTTGTCAAGAGCGCCCTGGGGGCCCTGAGTTAAAAAAGTAGCCAACATCATGAGCATTTCTTCTGTGCTGACCAATAAGATCAAAAGAAAAACTACACTGATGGTTACATTGCCCACACTTGCTAGTTAATAGTAGATCATTTACTAAAAGGGTGAATGATAGAACAATTACTAACTGTCTGTCTGTACATATCAAAACAATAGCATGCCAGCACATGTGATTGACAGCTACAACTCTGGTATGTCCACTTCACATTGTTCTGTTGATTTTCACAATCATAAACATCAAGTACTTGTAGAATCCTTCCTGCTTTTTAATGTTTAATTTGCCAAAAAAATTGTTCAGTATGCCTCATATTTAAGAAGCCTATATTAGTGTTTCCCAACCTGGTCCTCGGGGCCCGTCACTTAGGTATAAAGGAAAAGTGTGAACCATTTGCAGGGCCTGAGGATTGGGAAACACTGACCTAGATTATTTGAAAGTAGTTCTTAAAACATTCTGTCTCATAGGTATGTAGCTAAAAGCTTTCACTTCCACATTTGTTCAAACAGTCAGCCTGCTTGTAAATGAGTGTGTACTAAATTTAATAGTTTTGTACAATGATGCTGTTTAGCCTACTGTTTTGCAAACTGACTGTTTCTAAGTGCACTCTTATTTGCACCTAGCTAGCAGTGTTTGTAGGTATATATTATGGTTAGTGATTTCAGGTAGAAGGGCTGGGGTTTCCAAATCTGAGTGGATGGCATTGAACACTTGGCAGTAAAGTGTTACACAGAGCTGAACAATTTAGCAAGTTCTGTGGATAAACTGTATTGTCTGTACCAGCAGTCTGCTGTAAACAGGAGGCAGCTGCTGTAAACATACACTTAAAGCAGGACAGGAATGTTTCTTAATGTCAGATGGGTGGCATCATTGTTTAAAAGCTTTTGTGTGATTTTCATCTTAGTCAGAAAAGAATCAAGATGTTTTGATATCATTTTCATGGCAGACAGACAAATAAATAAATTGATTTAATTAAGTTATATAGACAGCAACATCTTATTGGGCTATTAGTTTTAATCAAATTTTCATGATCTAAGTGCTGAGTACTCCATGTAATACTGCATAAAGTAAACAATATGGCTCCCTCATCGTTGGCACTCCACACCTCCAAATTCCCTCTTTTAACCTCTGGCCACAGCACGCCACAAAGTTTAGTGTCCAAAAAACACTGCTCGATCTTTGCGCCATAGTGTACCACATAGCATTCAGCTTTTAGTGTACTAGTTCAAACCCGGAAGAAGACCACAAAAAGCCATAATAGGTGACAAGTGGCTTGACATATGATGTGTGCGTGTGGGTCTGTGTGTGCATGTGAGCAGCAGAACAAGAGTATAAAAGCTTTTTCAGCCTCAAACACACATTCAATTCCATATAAATTTAGATTACTGCTTAAAGAAATCACACAGCATTAATATTTTTAAGTAGATTCTTGAAAAGAAACATCAGGATTGGAGGTATAGATGCTTTAGTATTGATCGGCCCATCAGACTTGTGGTGTCACCGTGCTGTTATCTTCACAGGCTATTTTAGACATAAACACATGCCTCATGAATCCTTTTTGAAAATGTAAGCCTTATTAATGTTTTTGTTAAACTCAACAGTTTAAACAGTTTCATCCTATTTATGTTACTGATTTCCTAAGTAGTAGGTGAATAAAATTCACAAGAGATTTAAGTCAGGAAGTAGTCATGTGCAAAGGTTTGAACACCCTCATTTAAATGTTTTGTTGATTTGCAAAATTTTTGTTTAGATCAATAAAATCAATATTTTAATTCAATTCAAGCCTCAGAACACTTCAAATCAACTTCTGCCCTGTTTCACTTTTTACAGCATTGCTTACATGATCAGCCAAAGTTTAAACTATTTAATTACAACACAAAACAAAACTACAGAACAAATTACTACATACTATTTTATAGATTGTGCTGTGATTGCTAAAGTGTTCTTGTTTTGATGGAGTGCATGTATTTTTTTGATGTATCTGCAGTGTTTTTGTAGCTGTAGAGTTCTGGGTATATAATAAACTGCTGTGCTGGGCTGCATGTTTCTACAGAGAGGAAAGTGAAGCATTCTGAAAAAGTGAATTTGGCACTGAAAAATGCTTCTTAGCAGTTGTAAAAATTGTAAAACGTGAAGAAGTGTGGTGTGGAGATGATATTTTAACTTATTTGCACTTAGAAAATTAACAGAATATGTAATTTGACCGGGGCACCCACGCTTTTGCTTTCGGCTGTACTTGAAGGCTAACATGGTACTGACCAAATTCTTGGCCTAATACTGACTGCTTTGGTACCCATCCATTTATTGTGGCTATCCCCCCCAAAAAAAGTATCTAATTTATGTAAGGATGTTTTATTCCAAGTCATTTTAGAGCATTTCTATTGGTCCATTCCTCATTTTCACACAACGTAAAGGGCATGTCTTTTGAACAGCAACAATATGATATCCATTCTGTATAATGTCCTGAGCGTTTATTGTGTTCTTGGATGGTGCATTTATTGTATATTCTTTACTCGTTTCACAGTGTTGTGTATCTGCACTTAGGGCTGAACGATTTGGGGAAAATGTCTTACAGCATTTTTCTCTCTTATTTTATATACATTAATTTCCCGGCCTATTTTTGGCCAAGAAGACCAGAATATCTGGCATTTCCTGGCCTGAAGCTTGAACATTGAGTGCACCAGACCTGTTACTTGTGATGTCACATATACAGCAATTGTTTCTGATCTGACTCATCTACAGGCAGTTTACAAGTTCTGTGTTATTAGATTAAATTTCCCCATTTTTCCCCAAACTTAAGTCGATGTATTTTATATTTCAAATTGTAACTCTTGTGATTTAAAAATTGCACTCTTTCAAATTCCATGTTCAATATAAAAATGATGAATCTTTCATCCCTCTCTGCACTTTATGTCGTCCTGTGTAATGAAATGCTGGTTAATGTTGGACTACGTGGCTTGAAAAACGACATTTCACTCCAATGTATAGATGCTTTATTGAGGATAATAAAGACTTGCCTTTACTTGACTTAATACCCAAGCTAAACAGGCCTGCTTTTTTGTGACATGGACCAACGTGTTCAAAGGTTGCATTAGTTCAAATGAAAAGAAGTGGGAAAGATGACAGCACTTGTTTCTTGGTTTGGCTATAGCTCTAGACACAATTGGGTGTTCTAGCTCTTTCACTGTGCTGATGTTTAAATTTGCACATCATCCCCTTTAGAGAAGTAATGGTTCTAGATTAGGAATAAGGAAGATGAAAGCATATGAAAGGCTAATGTGATGAACCTCATTCGGGTTTGACACCTCTGCCTTCTGTTGAGTGAGCTTGCATGCTACAACTGCACTTCCCTTGCTAATGTACTTCCTTCACTTACACCATCTCATAAAATAAGTTTGGCAACTTTTATAAGAGAGAGAGAGACTAGATGCACTGCTGAATTGGGCTTAATCCATGAAACAAATCCACTCATCTTCATTTAATTTTAGTCACAAAAATGATAAAAGTTTACAAAATTACTAAATTTGATGTTTTCTCTGCCTCTGACTATCCATTTATGTTTATAAGATATCTACTTACATGAAACAGGCCAACTCTGTTGAAGACATAGCTACCTGAATGCTTTTATCTGGCTTTGCAAACTTAACTGGCCACATGTGATGCATGGATGGAATTACATGGCTGGGATTACACAGGCAGTAATGTGGACTACTTAAAGATCTTGAATCAGCAGGAAGGATTGAAAACATTCTTACATGATTGTGAAAATCAGCAGGAGAGGGGGAGAAAGTGCCAGTTCTCCCCCCTGCCAAATCATAAAAACGTGCAGCTCCAAAAAGGAACCCTCAGGGCCTTCAAAGCCTTTAGAAATGGCAATTTCTGTGAAATAAAAAAGAATACATGTCTATAATTATTATTTAATGGACTTGTGCACACTATATTTAAACTCTAAAAGTATTGTAATGCTCCTACCTCATTGTTTGGAAACACAAGGGTTAAACTCTTCACCTGTCCAATACAAAATTATTCAGTCAGCATTTTTTTATTTTGATTTACAATGGGTGGGACTGGTTCTATGAGATGTCACTCTAGGCCTGCTGGAATTTTACTGATTGAATATGAGCCGTAGTCTAAACAGGTTTTAGTCAGTTGTCAGTAATGTAAAACAGCAGCAGCAGCTCTTTCCAGGGCTAAAATACATTTTACAAGCTAAAATACATGCTAATGTGTCAGTTAAAAGATTCAAATAAAACATGGAATGTCTTTTACAAGTTTCAAATGTATGTGTTTAGTTTAGATTATAGATTATACAAATATTATTGTGAATCACTGTAAGCTTAGCGCATACATACTACACACTACTAGAAAATTTGAAATTTGCAATATTTTTCTTAGTTTTTGACATTTATGGCCTGAACGGAAGGCCTAGCACTAATACTAATAGTTTGCCACTGCAGAGGAAAGATCTTGGGACATTAGAAAGGGAGCTGTGAGATGCAGGAATGTAACTGTCTAGGGGTTCTCAATCAACAGGTACTATTGAATAGATAAATGGATTTTAGAATAAGAAGAATAAGTTAGAATAAATTAGACATTATTTACATTTCCATCAAACTGTAGTTCTGCAGATTAGCTTCACCTACTGTTTACAAAAGCCAAATGTCAAGAGTAGTGTAGATTAGCTGGACTGATACCAATGTAATTGTACATCTGACCCTGACATTTCATTTTGAGAATCAATCCTAAAATAAAAATAACAAGCTCAAGACAAGAATTTTCTTTCAGCAATAATTTCAGTATTTATTTCAGATAATGGAATAAGTATTAGGCTGCACAAGAAAAAGTATTCAGTAGGGTAAATTCAGCAAAAATGGGATGAGTAACCCTCATGCCCCATTACTCTTTGAGGGACAGGACCCAGTCAAATGTAACTATCATGAATAATCACCACAAGGGTGCTTACCATTCAGCATTTATTTGCATTGGCCTGACATCACTGTTGTCAGCATTGTCACAATTTGAGATTGATCTGATTCCATCAAGCCATGTGGAACCATGTGATTCTACACGGTTAGTGGACTGACAAACAGTTGTTAGTGTTTCTCAAGGGACTGTGATGTGATAAATTATTCCAGGTGGCATACAGAAGACATATTTCTAGGCATTTATATGACAATATGTGGTGCCATGTTAGAATAATACATGCATTCCACAATTTCAGGCGGACTGATACCAAAGTATTGGTACATCTGACCCAGACGTTTCATTTTGAGAATCAATCCTAAAATAAAAATAACAAACTCAAGATAATATAAAGAATTTTCTTTCAACAATAATTTCAATATAATAATCAATGTAACTTAATTTAAAATAGTCAGATCAAAGTTTAGTATAATGTACAAATATGTCCAGCACTGATTTTTAAAATTGTGTTTATTGTCTGTGTGTTGCAGCCTGAATATGACGATAACCATATTCATAACCAAATTCAGTATGAGCACATTGCTAAAAAAAAGAAAAAGATCATCGGAGACAATAATCTGTGATAAGAGCACAGAAACACTGGACTGTATTCTGCAGTATTCCTAAACTAGAATAAAGTAGAATGAAAACATTGCTAATGATAAATAATACAAAGCTAGTAGGACCCAGTTAGAATCATGCAAGGTCATGATAGTCTTCAAGACACTAGTAGCAGAGAAAGTGTTTCCACAATGTAACACTGAAGATACTCTGTTCAAATTGTTTCAGGTTTTTCAGCAGCAAGAAGGCGACCGCATCAACATCTTGAGAAATGCTATTTGGGTCCACTGTAACCACTTCTCGATGCAGTGTGTCAAAGATGATGAGGTTGGTGCAGTTATTTTGGGTTGGTGCATTTATCTTGGTTAGATTCAGGCATGCTAGCAGGGTATGTTATTGTGGCAAGCTAACGGTTAATGTCGGTGTACTAGTTGCTGTTTATTTCTGTTTGTTTGCAGTGTTATGAAGAAGTGAGGACAGTGCTGGAAGGGTGTGACATCACAGCAGATATCAACAGCTTCATAGATTTAAAAAGAACTGGAAGTATTCCACCAGGTCAGTATGAGTTTAACGCCCCCAGAACCTTCTAGCCAGTGCCCTTAGCAGCTTGTTTCCAGGATCACTGTAATTAAAAATCACCAATAATAATCAAACAAATAATAATAATTATAATAAGCAGTTTTCCAGTACAGGTTCCTGTATGGTGATTTGTTATCAGTTATTACCATCCAAAGGGTTGTATGATGCTACTTTTCTCTGTTGCCCCTCTAGAGGCCATCGTATTTGAAAATTACTACAGCCGAGATCCCTCAGGTGAGAGCAACGGCACTGCCCGCTTTGGGGGAGGAGTGATGAAGAGGTACGTACTCTGAATTTACATGTGTTGGTTAGCTTTTTGCTTACAAATTTACATGTCAGTAAGACTTCTTCATATATCTCTCACTAGGCTGCATGTGGAGCCATATTTAAATTCATCTGTGTACTGTATAACTTTGTTTTTCAGGTTTTCTAATCTCTTGCAAGGCAACTGCTCTGGTGGTTCCAAAAATACCAATGATGTCTCACAGCCAATAGCTCCCTCTTCTGGTATGTGTACATCATTTTGGCAGTAGCTGATAACATAAGAATGTTTTATTTTGTCATTTAATTCATGAGACTGTTGATCGAAGTGGTTTGGGACTGGTTTGGTCAATCTGTAAAAGTCACCATTCTTTTTATAGGTTGACATTATAGGCAAACAATAGCCAAAAAATGCTAAAGTGGGTAACAATAGATGAAAACTGGGGAGATCATTTAGCACTGAAAACTGAAAAGGTTTGACTCATTATTGGCAATGTTGCAGTCTAGGGGAGAAGCCTTTGTTTAAAGGGGATTCCACTGATTTTTCTAAACTTCTGGATAATTGCTGAGATGTAAACAAAGTCATTCAGAGTGGCTTGATGTAAAATGGTGCAACTCAAATTTCTTTTCAGTGGTGGTGATAGAAACCATATCTCAACCATATCTGATAAAACAATATCTCAATCATCAGGCAGCATAATCCATAACATTTTGTGTTTAATAGTTTTTAGAGGCGTTTACCATTTCAGATGTCTGTTTTTTTATCACTACACTTGGCACAATTGGTTGGTAAGTGTCTCTAGAACTCTAGGACAGAGCATTTCACATGAATAGTTTTGATCACATTTTAACAATTGTAATATGCTGAAATTTTGTAAAATCAATGCAATTCCCTTTTAATTCATATACTTTTTGCCCTCTACTACAGATTTCCCAGTCCTAGCCCTGGAGTACCTCTGCACTATCCTGTTTGATGTTTACTTAGCTCACTCTAACACACCTTTTTCAACTTATCAATTACATATCAAGCTCTTCATCTGTTGAATCAGATGGTTCCGTGTAGGGAGGGAACTGTGCTGTGTAGGGGAACTCCAGGACTGTCGCTGGTAAACAGTATGACATCAAAGGTGACAGTTGTTTAGATCCATTGTAGAGCACTATAGTGTAGTTCAGGCAAACATGTTATGGCATATCATCCTGTATGTAGTCACTGTCTTATGATTTCTTAAAATACTACCCAGTTACCTCCATTTTTGTATGTAATTCCTAGGAGACAACTCAGATGGAGTTTATGCCTCTATTCCTGGGTTTCCAAATACAACTGACCACCAAGGAGAAAAGTACCAGGCTCTGTATGACTACAATGCTCAGGTCAGTTTTGGTGTTGGTCTGAGACCAGTTTTATCATTTCTCTCATAAAAGGAAATGTTAAGATTTGGCTCGGTGAGCTATTCCTAGATTAGAAGAGGGCAACACTTTGCTGGAGCGTACAAAAAAAGGAGACACGCATTTACAGTCTCATCTTATTGCAAGATCAAGGGCTCAGTATCCTACATATTTCTTGTACTTGTATTTTTCCCCCTGAGGTCCACTTACATTTGTGTAGGTGTATGTACCAAAAATGGCTTAAAATAATGAATTTTTACATGACCAGTTTCCAACCTGTCCTTATCCCTCAGAATTAATTATATTGTTTTGTTACTGTGCCTTTAAGACTTATAAAAGATAAATGAGTTCTGTTCTGTTTGGCTGCGCTTCTTCCAAGAAGCAGTCAGAGCTGAAACACTCCTTCTAACTTGTAGGCTCAACAGGGGATATTATGTAAATGAGTTGGTTCTCCTGACATGACAGAAACAATGGGCAGCATAGTTTCCATACCTTTACAATGTTTACATATTTCTTTAAACTCTTTTATTTTAAAAAGTGACAGAAATGATACGGGCCCTTGAAATAAAAGCATTGTTGGCCAAGTTTAGTAAAAGTTTGAACTCAATAGAAGCTTAGATCACAGGTAGGCTAACCACCAATCAGTATCATTGTTGCAGGCTACTAGTTGCACTAATTCAGTGTCACTCTTGTTCACATTGTTGTAGCTAGGACAATATGCAATATTTGATCCAAAAAGTGTTGTGGCTTTTTGCAGGGTGCAGATGAGTTGTCCATCTCGATAGGGGATGTTCTTCTGGTGGTGGAGCAAGGAGAAGATGGCTGGTGGACAGTGCAAAAGAATGGACAGAATGGCCTGGTGCCAGGCTCTTACCTGACCAAGATTTGAGACCAATTCAGTTTCCAAAGCCTAATGTCCACGGACTTATGCCTTCTATTAGGTGTTAGAGCCCAAATTCATTGTGTCTAGGTCAACCTTAAATATTAATACAGTGCCCAGGATCTAGAACATGATTTCACAGAGGTCTATTCATACAGGTCCTGGGTACTGTATTAATATTTAAGGTTTAATGAATCATGGTCATTTGTAAATAGATTATTGTACTTACTTTGTTAGAGAGGATACATATTTATTTCTTGACTAGAAGAATGTATTTATTGTTAATTAAAGGTAAAGAAAACTCAAGTGCACAAAAATAAGGGTTATAACCAGGCATATTGGGCTTTCTGTGACTTGAGGTCCTGGATAATAGGACAGCAAACAAATCTGAGTGTCAGTGGACCTGCTATCATAATATTATAGTCATTTTTGTGTATATTCACTAGTAGAAAGGTAAAATGATTATTACTTTTATTGCTTGTTATGGAGGTAATTCAAGTTATTTGTGGCAGTTTTGATGTTACCTCTTTTCAGTAATAATGAAGAATATCATCGCTGTCCAAAAAACAATGGCAGCTTTACAGGAGAGGCCAAAAACATTCTTCACTTTTAATGTACTTTCATTGCAAAGACATTTTATTGCAAGCTATTTTGGAGCATTTCTACTGGTGGATTCATCATGAAAGTTTTCACACAATGTAAAGGGTAGCTGCTGTGCTCAAATGATGTTAAAAAAATTAAAAATAAAAAATAGAGATACTTTTTTTGGGCAGTAAGGATATTTATATACCCTACAATAAAATATTTACAAATTCACCCCACACTACAATACTGGGGAGCTGCCAGGAAAATGGCTTCATGGCTTCATATAATGTTTAATAGTGTAGCCTGAACATGTATTAATTGACAAGCAAGCCAGCAGATTTTAACATCATTGGTCTATTTTGGGGTTTATATTTTGTTAAACCATATTATACAATAAAGTAAATTTAGTACACAATGACATTTCAAGTAAGATATTTGTATACATTCCAGCCAAAAAGAACATCTGCCTGAAACATGCTTACTCGCCTCTTACAGCTGTGCTGTAGTGGTCTCTAAAGCAAGACTTCCTGGCTTAAAAAGTAGGAAAGACTCTTTCTGATGATGTATCTTAGAGGTGGAAGAAGAAAAAGGTTATCAGCCAACTGAGGTTAGCACTACCTCACTAAAACAGGCAGTATACTTGAAATGCAAATGTTTTGGGGCAAAACGACACAGTGGTTGGAGTTTGTTTAGTGCTGTGTGTGCTGCTTCCTGAACAAACTTTTAATCACATAATTTGTTCGGGGACCTACCCCCCTAACACAGACTGGTCCACTGCACAAAGTGAGCTTCTACTGGTGCTAAAACATACACCGTGTTCTTTGTAAGTATATTTATGGCAGTGTTCAGCGTTAGTTTTGGTTAGTTTTTTTTTTTTATCTGAAGTATACTGCCAACGTAATGCTAGTATGCACCATGAATGTATTCATTAGCCTCTAGATCAGTGGCTAGCAGTCAGGAATTGTTGAGTACTGTAGGGATTCCCAACGTTTGTGTGATCTATTTGTATAATGCATGCTGGGTTTTTATTGAGAGAACACTGATGGACGAAAACAAAAATTTTAAATTGTGAATTCAGTCAAACCAATGAGGCTGAAGGGTGCTATGCTGCACTACAAAACACTACATAACAAATAATATACTGCTAGTTTTATGCCCCTTTAATATTGCACATTGTACAGTGTCAGCTTTATAAACTCGGCATGGTAACCATAGTTGCCTAATAAAACATCCCCTTGTCTATTAATAATAGCATTAAAACCAAAAAAAAAGTAAATTTATAAATGTGAGTGCAGATCTTGAGCACTTTCTGTATACCACTTTGAAAAGCTTCCTTCCTCACCAGAGACTGCGATTTCAACTGCTGTCATCCCTTTATAGGCTGTGTCATATTACAGGTTTCTTTTTTAGATCAACCAGTACAAGCTGCATTTATCTTTCGAAGTCTGTCTTAGATTAGCTTGCAAAATACTAAACAGATGTGACTCATGAAGTCACATGCACCGACCAATTGCAGTTGCATTAATATCCAATTTCTAAAGCCGAACAACCTCAATGCTTTAGTTATTAGTGGTATTAGTGGTAGGACTCGTCTGCCTTATGTGCATCTGTAGATCTGGTAAAGATAGACAATATGTCATAGTATGCTTCTCAGTAGGATCTATGGAAGCATGGCTTCAGAATAATTCTATGTCCCCCTCCCTGGGAAAAGCCTGACCTTTAGCCTTGTTCTACACAAGCTTACTACTCAAGTTTTTGAGCCTGTTGCTCTGACAAAAGGCCTCCAACAATGTGTCTCTGAATGTCGGAGTGCTTTGTCTAAATGGCCTGTGAGAACCAGGGAATTCCTGAGAAGCATGAATAAGGCCATGGACCTGATTGGGCCAAGAGCCAGCTTCTAATGCTCCTTTTCCATGAACGCTATTAAAGGAAAACCAACAATGCTAATATTGCTAAAAATGAATATTAATCTAATGATAAAAGCCAGTGATGTTGCATTTTTTGGGCAAAGCATTCTTTACATTAAGCCTTCATAATAAAAGTATCCTGTGTGCGCTCAGTGGTCATGCAAATGGAGCACAGAGTAAACCTCATAAAAAATATAATTTTATAAAAATAGCAACCAACATTTATTTGATGTCAAAATTACGTGTTTAATTTGTTTTCCCTTATTCTATGTACATTCATTTCAAATGTTGATGCTGTTCTACATCGCTATAGATTCTCCAAACCAACTTTAAAATCTACTTCCCAGAATACTAAACTCCACACACTAAGCATGGGAAGGAAGAAAATTAAAACAGTGATAAAATACATGGTAGGTAGTGCATGAAGCGTATTCCACAAACATTAGTTTATGTGTAACACCGGGGTAAATTTACAGATGTTCCTGAAAGTTCACTCTGTTAAGATTGGAGTCATGTTGCTGAGCAAGCCAGATCTTGTCTGATGCTGCCAGTGTTTCTGGTGATGGGTGGTATTGCTGAGACAGCAACAATGCAGAGCAAACCTCTCACCCATTGAAGACTTTACCTGTCCCAATATATTCACAAGCATGATGTCAACAATACCTGATAATAAAATAATCAATAGCTGTACACATAGTGCAAACTAACACATGAGGAAAGCATGAATTCCACATTTTCTGTCCATACAATAATGCCATCTTTCACATGAGCAAACATGCTCAGTCTTGCAGATATCACATAACCAAAAAGAAACAAGAAGACCTCTCATGAACATAGAAGAAGTTCGCCATTTCTCAATTTGGCCTTTTAGCAATTTGGAAAAGGAAAAAAAAAAAACATTTAAAATAAAACTCAACCGTTCGTACAGAAGCACATAAATAAATAAAAATACACTAATTTTGCTTCACCCATCACCAGTGCACAGTGTGAGCGACCCTGTCTAAAGTTGTGTAGCTGAAAGAGGAGGGCATGACCAGTGTGCTATCACACACTGACACAAGCCTGAGCCCTGTGTGTGTGTGTGTGTGTGTGTGTGTGTGTATGTGTGTGTATGTTCTCTTAGTAGTTCATTCACGCGTATGTTCCTCCGGTTATCAGAAGCTCGTAGGCAGGGTCCCGGCCTCTACGACACAGCACCACACAGGCACACAGCATCCCAAGCATCTAGGACAATGAAGGACGATTTTGAGAAATACAAGCTAGTCCAGCTCATGTGGAAAGTATAAGAAAACAAGGAGAGATTTAAAAATCTATCATGACCAGACCTGAATTTGCAAATAGTCTATAATAATAAACATATCAGTACCAGCAGATATTTACTTAAAAAAAAAACAAAAAAAAACACAGTACCAGATATTTAGATTTCAATATAAAAACCTATAATTCCCATGTTATTGCATCCCTACTGATCATTAATGAGACAGATATTTAAAAAAACTGAAGTGAAAAGACTCCTTGAAAACTAAAAACAACCACAACTGTTAAAGAGGAAAGCTTGTCTGCTGCAACCTAATCGCTGACTGACTGGCCCGTATCTTAACATGTTAATTATTAAAACTGGCTGAATCAGTTAACACATGGGGTGAAATGTAGCCTTCGGACGTGACCTAAGCCTTTAGAATACATTTTTAATAAACCCTAAAACATGTATGCATGTGCATGAATGTAACAACATTCAACAAGGTAACAACATTGCAACAAGTGAAGCGTTGTCTCCAAATGTCTGCCTCATGGTAGACACCTATGAGGAAGAGGATACAATGGGACCAGTGTGCAAATCATGGGTGGCAAAGTGCTCACAACTTCTACATTGCAGATGGCTGGCTTTACACAGTGAAACTTTCATGTAACTCTGGTTGCTTGAAAACCACATGAACCTAAAATGCACTCATGTTGCATAATTTAAAGTCCTGCAACACATCTGAAACTCGTGTGCAAACGTTGCAAATGTCTTCACTTCATGGAACAAGTTTAATGAAACAGCCAACCTAAACGCAGATAATGCATTACATGATTGTGTCGAATCATATGCTTTCAAATGAGTTCACCGGTTCAGTGGACAAGAAAATAAAACAGAAGACAGGAGACCACCCTCCGACTAACTCTGATAGTTTTAAAAAACTATAAGCTGCTATTCTAGTGGCTATCTAGTGGAGTAACTGAATGTGTTGCATGTTTTTGAATTACATTATGTAACTGTGAGATTGCACAGAAATTATGCTACAGGCTTAACTCCATGAAAGTTTGATCATATAAAGCCAGCATTAGATGCTTAATTGACAAGGCTCCAGGATGTCTGCATATGGTCACCGAGATAGGTTGCTTACTTTGTTGCATGTCAGAGCAGATTAGGGTCATACCTGAATTGCAGCAAATGTCAGAGCAGCCCAGATGACATACATCATGATCTCCTTCAGTTTCTTCACAACCAGAGCTTCACATCCCTAAGAGATTCAAAATAAAACACTGTTTCATAAGGTGACTTTTTATCGGCACCTCTCTCATTCATATACACATACACAATCTCACCTCAGGGTAGAGGTCTCCAGGGCGGGAGAGGGAGCCAGTACAGTTGCTTGCATTGGGTTTGCAGCAGCTCAAAGGTACACTATTGTTCCGAGACTCGTTAAACCAGCGTGTGTTCCTCCAGTCCGAGTAGTTGGCGATTCCACAGCAGTGGAGCTTAAATTCGATGCATGCAAATCATGATGTTAAGTTTTCATGCCAAGTGCACAGTGACAGTACACAACATATAATAATAAACACCTCCTTCACAAGGGCTGCATAATACGGATGTAAAATGTGATGTTAAAGTTGTGGAATGCGTGTGTGTATATTATATACACACACACACACACACACACGCGTACATGTGTGTGAGGTCATGTGATCCATTCTGTTATTGCTACCCTTAACAGGTATATTTCTTGGGTAAACTCATATCATGATGACGATAAAAATACGAATAATCATGCAGCCCTTTCACTCACTCAATACCATTAACAGGATCAAAAGAGTTATACAAAGCTGCATATTACTCAATTTAGCAAAACGTGTTCAGGTTTTTTTTAAATATCATCTAAAAGTCTCACCTGTCTCTGCACATAGTCAATAGCACGACTGGGGGCATCTGTGTTGGTTCCATTGTATTCATTGTACACCTTCTGGATTGAATGATTGACCTCCTCTTCCACCTAGGAAAGGATCATACTCTGTATCAATGATGTATTCCTAAATTATCTTTTAACTCTTTTTTTTTTTTATTTTGGAGAAGAAAACAATAAGACAAGTTAGTCTAGACTAGTAAGTGTAGGTCAGCAAAGAAAAGACGCTCAGTGTTATTACATTCAGCACTTTTTTGAGTAAATGGCCTATATCCCATCTATGATGGTTTTGATAACTTTGGTATTCAAGGCATGACAGAAAGCCGTGCAACTCCACCTTTAAAAAATATTGACTTGCCTTCAGGCAGACTAACCTTTGCTCTGTAAATGTAGCCAAGCACTACCACAACCACTTCTGTCACAAACACCAGCATGAGGATGATGACAAACTGGAAAGCAGGAATTCAGGAAATACAGTTTAAACAACAGACTATTAGTCTAGTTAAAACCTTCTGAGAAAGTGCATATCCTTAATTAAAGGTACACAGTCAGTGTGTGGTCTAGGGGTTTACTGACCGTAG